CACTCCTCCGTCAAGTCAATCAGTTGTTGACATGATTTTTCCGCATCAACCGTAGGCTTTTCCATCCCTGAAGATGGTCAGCACACTGCCATCAACACCAATATCAATGAATATACCACCGGTCGTCAGAAACACTGTGGTATTGTCAGTGAGGCCCAGGCCCCTCAGCTCTCCCTCCAGTTCCTTCACACGGTTAACAACCTTGAGTTCTGCTTTGCTGCGTGCTTCTTTCCTAATGGACCGGCTGCGAGTGCTTCCTGGGGAGTCCATGAGGATCTGGGATGTTTCCTTGGAGACAGCCCCATCCCGCTTTGTAAATATTACGACCAGTGGAACTACAGCTTGTCCATCAAAGAAAGCCTCAATGCTGGTTCTCTTTGCCACTCACCTGTACCCTTCAACAGCCGGAAAATGTCTCTTTCACTCTCAAACAGCTCCCGACATTCGTCAAGAGGAAGGCACATCCTAAAGAATGCGTCAAAAAATCCATGTTGCATGGCAGAACCAACAACATTGATACCATATGACATGCAGCTGAGTTCGAAGATCCTCCGCTGCCGATGACCGCTCCTCTACGAACTGCTGGACAGTGGAGAGTTCTGTGGCTGAGCCTGCTTCGATGCCACGCGAGTCGTGAAAGACAAATCCACGCTTGGTGCGAAAGCGGATCTCATCATTGATGTTGTGCAAACCGCGCTTTGGGCCTTTAGAGACCAAATAAAAACAACAGTCTAAGAACATACATCTATCTGGCCTTTCACTGTCTGGATCAATTTGATCAGACATGATAATTGAGGTGTTTCAACGGTCGACGTACTTGGCCTGGCAATATTTCTCCACCCCGCCAGACCTCCGCTTCGTCCATGGAGGCTCCGGTTAGTCTCTCAAGTATTGTCGTTTTGCCGGCATTCGCACGGCCGAGGATAAGCACACGGAATTTCAAACCTCGGTCGTTCCAGAACGATAAGATATCCTCAGGGAGGGTTTCGGCGTCGGAATTCATTGAGGGCAGGGCAGAAGTGGGAGTAGGTGAAAGATGACCTATTGATATATGCCAGAAGATCCGATATTAAAGGCACTTCACACGCGATCATCGCATTGAAGGCTGGAGCATCAGTGAGTTCTTCTGCCGTGTGTTCTCTTGTTCCACATTTGGCGATGAACTTAACAGCTTGCCGACAGCATTTGATAGAAGCAGTGCGAATACAATGGCCCAATTGACTGATGAAGCCTCCGATATTAAAGGCACTTCACACGCGATCATCGCATTGAAGGCTGGAGCATCAGTGAGTTCTTCTGCCGTGTGTTCTCTTGTTCCACATTTGGCGATGAACTTAACAGCTTGCCGACAGCATTTGATAGAAGCAGTGCGAATACAATGGCCCAATTGACTGATGAAGCCGTGCTCAATTGGAACTCCAAGATCCGTCGCGCTTAGCACTAAGACCGCGAAATTGGATCGAAGGAATACCAAGTAAATGGCATAAAGGCATATATGTAGTCCTCAGTCTAGGGCTCTCGAAGCACCTCTACCGACATCCAAGACTCGTCGGATTCCTCCTCCGTCATTGCCCACTGTTCAGGTTGCACACTGTTATCCATTATAATGTCTGCGATCTTCTTAATGACAACGTCTACGTCCAAGTGGCCAAATATTCCCCATCCGTCCACCCATGCTTGATGCTGGCATGCACGATGCGTTAGTTTGGAACGCGGAGGAGAGCGTGGATGCGCACCGCGGGCATTCCTGGCGGAGGATATCTGTGCAGGGCACGAGGACGGCTTCACTGGTAGAAGACATTCAGTAGTCAAAAGGAAGCAAAGAGAAGTGGAAGGGCACACAGGCCTCATGTTAGCCACGCGTGCCTGAGTCCTGCATCAGAAGCGATTGAAGTCACCAATGATTCTACGACGCTAATTTTGTGCAGTTCCCGAGATAAGTATGGCCAACCTACCTGCGTCTGTGAGCATTTTTGAACGTCTTCGGGGCAGTCTGAATTCTGTGGAATCGAGTCACCCATGAGCTTTGCGTGCAAGAGTCACCATCGGAGCCACGATCCGTGCTGATATATATCGCGACAGCTGGCAGATTATTGCGCAGCGGCTGCAAATGGGAAGTTATTCTCGGGGAACTTCTGCCCAGATTAGTCCCGTCCGGCCGTAATTGAGACCGCTGGCGCGGGGGCCGAGAGCCAGATATGTCGATGTGGCACCAGTTCGCCGGATCGTACATGGTTGAATGCGACAGAGCTTCCGGGGGTGATAGGCATGTACGCGGCGCGCGTGCTAGCGAAGAAACAGCGGAAAAGCTGTGTCACAAAGGTTGTGAGTCCCAGGAAGGCAGTGGCGGAGATAAGACCGTCTGCGATCCACGAGATTGCGCTTACAGAGCTGTTGGGTAATCTGAGCACTAGAACTGTGAATTCCCCCCGAAGATCGTGTTATTATGCTGGCAATAGATTGATCGAGGGCGGATTTGAGTTTAGATGGACGCTGTTCAAAGTAAGGTGAAGAAATAGTGGGCAACAGACGTTAACCTCGTTCCTCGGGTGGCAGCATCAGGTTTGGATTCAATCTCATGACATTTAGGGGCGAGGTCGCGCGCTACATTCTAAGAACAATCAGACTCCAGAGATACTCAAAGACAAGGGAAAACACACAGACTTGAACTACGGGGCAGCCTGTTCACTGCGCTCCCCACCTCCGGCTGCCTCACACCTCCGCTTGCTCCTGCTCGTCGTTACTCAAATATCCCCCATTCCCTTCCTTCCCTTCCGTCTACAGATCTGCGCTGCTCGAGCGTTCATTCGCTCGCGCCCTTCCCCGCCTCCACCTGCGTCTGCGCGCGCCTGCGGTACGCCCCATTCGGCGGGCAACCGCATACCCGCCCGCTCTGCCCCTCCTTCAAGCATTGCGTTGCCGCGCGGCCATCGGCGAAGGGAGACGAGGGGGAGGCGTGTGAAATTCGCTTCCCACTCTTGGCTCGCTCAGCGCAGCGGAGAATGTGCAACGGAGGGAAGAAGGGGGAGGGGAGTATTTGAGGCAGGTGAGCGGCAAGTACGGTACGGCGAGCACCGGTGTACGAGGCTGGTGTCGAGGCCGATGCGGAGCCGGTAGACGAGTCGGGGGTGTGCAAGGCGGGGTGAGAGTGTGGTGCGTTGCGCGCTTCCGGGTGGCGCACGAGCTGCAGAAGACTTGATGTGCGATGAGGATGAGCGGACCAGGACACGGGGGCAGGGCGCAAAGAGCGGCGTGCGCGCGGACGGGAGGTGATGCACATGCCCGCGGCGTCGAGTGCGCGGGGCCTGCTGCTCCCTCCCTCTCCCTCGATCTTGTGGCGGGTCCGGGTGCGGGTCCGGGTGCGGGCGCAAGCGCGTCTCCCGATGGACGAAGCAAACGGCGCGTGCGTATGGACGGGTGATGCACCCGCCCGCGGTATCGTGTGAGCCGAGTCCGCTGCCTCGATTATCTTGCTAGTCTCGAGTCTGAGTGCGTGTGCGTGATGTGCTGTGGGCGGTGGGCGACGTAGACTCGGTGTGCGAGCTGATGAACCTGGACGCGCGCGCAGGCGCGGGGGACAACGTGAGGAGAAAGAACACCGTGTGCGGAGCAGCAGGGCGGGCGCGATACCCGTGCCAATTCACACGCGCGGCACGATGTCGAGCGGGACTGGGCCCGCTGCCTCTTCGGATCTGAGTCCGCAGGTCCCGGTCCTGCTTCAGGAGGTGACGGTGCCGCACTCGCGGATCGCGACGTCGGTGCTGGTGTGGGTGGGCAAGTCGGTGCTGGCGGTAACAATGCTGCGCGCGGGCTCTACTCCATCTGCAGTTGACGAGCGCGGGCGCGGTGAGGGCACGGGCACGGGCGCTCGCGCGGACAGCGTAAGCAGCGCGGATGGCGCGGGCCGGGCAAGGTCGTCGGGAGGGCTCGCGAAAGGGAGGCGTGAGGTCGTTGGGAGCGCGCGAAAAAGAGTCGCAATGGCAACGCGCCCCGTCTCCTCATACATGCGAAGTCGTCCGGCACGCCCGTGCCCGCGCTCGTGCTTGGACAGCTCATCGATCGTAATTGTACCATCCCACCCGGTGCCACTCGTGCTTGAGCCTGTGAGGAGGCCGTGGCGAGTAAGCGAGTGTTTCGAGGAGAGAGGAGACGGAGGTCGTGGGTGGTGGGTCGCTGGTGGCAGACGCTCTCACTTGAATTCAGGGTGAGATGGACGCAGCGGAAGTACACTGGAAAGATTTCTATTAGCAGAATGAAAGACCACGCGATGAGGGGGAGGGAGAAGACAAACGAGAGGAAGACAAGGAGACGAGGGAGGACGTACCCAATACGCGCCGCCCCGCGTCATGGTGTCGTTGTAGTACCGATATGCGTGAAGCGGGTGTCGGTGGCGAGGACACCACGTTTCCCTTTCGCCCCGCAGACTGCTGGAAATCAAGAAACGGTCAGGAAAAATCGAGAGGACACGGAGAGCAATCCGAGTGACGGGCCGAGCCAGAGACTCAGAGTTGGGCGTAGCACGCGTGGCACCTGCGGGAACTACAAACGGCAGCACGGTGCGCAGGCTCCGGTGGGATGCTCGGCCCGCGTAGCCAGAGCTACGAGCAAGACGATAACAAAACGCAGAATAACACACCTCCGCAACAGCTCTCCCCGCGCCTCATCCCCATCCCAGTTGTAAAGCAGACCGAATCGATCCGGCGCGCAGAGTACACAAGAGCCGCAACGTGGGCGTGAATGGCCAGCAGAGGTGCGCCCTCGTGATTTGACACCTTGAATCCGCCAAATCTCTGTACGATTGGGGAGAGTTTTCTGGACATGGCATACGCGCGGTGGTTTATAAGTACCAAGCCTAGCAGCAAAATGAGAAGTCGGACGAATCAGACAAAGCTCAGCATGCGAACTTTCCCGGGGTGTCCCCGGGCCGGATCAATATTCGATCAATGTTTGATTTGCAAGCCAGGCCGTAAATCCCCCAAAAATTACAGCAACTGGCGGTATGCATTAAGGGGGAATCGAACCCCCGGCGGGTCGAGAAATTTTCTACAGCTGAGCTATGGCAACGACCCAGGTTACCACTACCCCATTAATGCGCTGTTGGCAGTGGCATCATATTTTCTGTGAAGATTGTCGTGAGTGTTGAAGTTCAAAATTCATTACTGCAGGACGATCACCGAAAAGCTGTTTACATAAGTAAAATGTCGTCGAAAAGGCCTCTCCGAAGCGGGATCTTACCCTTTAGGATTTACTCAATTTCGGACGAACTAATTGGATTTTTCACCACCTTAACATTTGCAACCGCTCCCAGGCGGATCTAGTATATGCCGCTGCATTGTGCTTCGGTCATCTCGGAGCTATTCAAGTTCACTCTCAGAAGCCAGTGGAAACCACATCCAATCAACAATCGCGTCCGCCAAGGGAGCCGGGAGATGGCAAGGTGCCGAAGAAATCAAGAAATCAACGAAGGAAACATTGGTGCCGAGATCTCGACCAAGTATACAAGTAACCTTCGGGTCCAATCCGGGTCTCCAACTAGAACCTACCTCCCATCACTTCATCCGAGGACACAATGTTGGTGTAAAGGATATCCGCGTACGGTCTTTCCATACTGGTGGCGGAAAATATGAGGGAATGGATTACATTATGAAATTGATCTTACTGCGGGACCAACGACGAAGACGGTGAGCGGACAAGGACGTGGTCGATGGAGCGCAGAAAAAGTGCCAGTGTCACGTTCTCTTCCCATCGCGGTCAGGTGGTACGCGTTGTTCGCGTCGAGCGGTCAACTCGAGGCAGATCTTGTTTCACAATCAGATATTCACGGAATACCACTGCTCCTACATCTCGACACATTTCAAAAGCGCACCGAGGGTGAGGTACACATCGGGGATAGCTCGTCACTTTCCTGGCGTAATGTCTCCTCCGCTGCAGATGTTGCCGCGCCCGCCGGACGGATGAGCGCACCGCGTGCAAGGGGAGACCAGGGGATAGAGCCAACGCCAAAGTGCTAGGTTTGGACGGTGGTAAAAGAATCCAGACAAGGAAAAGGAGAATGGATGGATGTACCTTGAGCGAAGGCATCATCTCGCGCTCCTCCTCGCGGTGAAGGACGTTGTAGTGGTTCTGCATTGAAATGAACGGGGTTGAGGTTGTGCGTGATCGCATAGTCTAGAAACCATTAAGTATGAGTGGGTCAACAGCTTTTCGAGGATCCGGGAACATTCCGAGACCCTCGAGATCAAGCTACCTTCACTTCCCTGCAAAATAATTGGCCGGACCTGCATGAATAAGATGAAAACCCACTTGCGGGGGCCAAATCCATCTGGATCTCTTCCCTCCGCCCCAACTCGCCAATTCGGGATGGTTGAAAAAAATGAATACTGCCGACGCCGTGGATGATGATCAGCCAAGCAATGAGCATGCAGCCAAGCGCAGCCAAGCGCTAAGTAATCCTGGCGGGCTGCAAAGGCCGGCTTCGCCAAAAATAACAGCCAGGCGTTGGGACCTGATCTGCAAATGGATGCGGCGCGCCTACTACCCCCCTCAGATCATCATCATCTTGGTATGTAGATCCGATGCTCCCTAGTTCATCGGTTCAGAAACATTCCGAGGTCTTTTCACACCCGTTACTAATACTAGCACACGTAGAGCCAGGCCCCACAGTTAGAAAGTCGCGCCAGGCACGCTTACCAGTGAGTCGCCTCGGTTCCACGCATCTTTCATGGCAAAATGAAACCGTCTGTGGGAGTTACTGCGCATTTCCAGGCTATTGTCTCGATGACAACGAACTTTTCGGAAACCACGAGGGATGCAGGACGCCTATAGCTACTTAAAAGCCTGCTACCACAAAACAATTCGTCGACACAAATGCTGCGTATCACACTCTTTTCTCTCTCTGTTTTAGGCGCCAGCGCATACGTCTGGCCATCCCCGAAGCTAGACGCTCTCGAATCTCTGCGGTTCAACCAGGATGGTCATAACTCAGGCGCGATTACAGTTTTCATCGAACCCTGCGGCCGGTATCTGTTCGACGGGCCCAACGTTCTCACCAGCAAAACCGGCCGTTCTGATGTAGCCGACTGGGTTCGCACAGCGTACCATGATATGGCGACACACAGCGTCACAGACGGTACAGGAGGCCTGGACGCCTCCATCCGCTTTGCGGAAGAAAGTTTGCGCGCCGAGATAGGCGCACCGCACTGGTTCCTGCGCTTGGTTCTGACCCCCATCTGCACAGAATATCGGTGACGGGTTTAATAATACCTTTCAGCACTTCAAACTACCGCTAGCCGATATGTCAGCTGTAGGTCCACAGCATTTACGGTACTGCACAGTGTCTAAGCATCGCAGTGGCCGACAGTCTCGCACTGGGCACAATCGTCGCGATTGAGAATTGGTGATTCTGTCTTCATTTTCATTACACAATACATCAGTTGGTTTTAATTGGTTTGACAGTGGAGGACCCCGAAATTGCCTTCCGTGGGGGACGCGTGGATGCTACGGAGCCGAACGCCCTGGCGTGCCCGAACCCCAGCAGGACTTGGATTCACATATAGCTGGCCTTCGCTCGCCAGGGATTTACTCAAACTGAGATGATCAGTCTCGTTGCATGCGGGTACGTATTTTACTTATTCAGACCCACAATTCTGAACCTAACGTCTACAGACACACCTTTGGTGGTGTGCAACATGCAGCGTTCCCGGATACCGTGCCTGAGATAAACGATCCCAACAATACCCAGTCGGCAGCACACTTTGATTCAACATTCACTCACTTTGACAATAACCTGTGAGATCGTAGGCACGTTTATTACTTCGTGCTGACCGCCCCACAGGGCAATCGAATATATGTCGGACACAACTCAAAATCCTCTCGTCGTTGGCTTGAACGACACGACCAACTCCGATAAGCGCATATTTGGCAGCGACGGGAACGTCACTATGAAATAGTGCTGTCCAAAAATATAATACGAAATAATATATTATTGATATATCAGTATTAATACGGATACGATACGGAGAGGAGATGGATTTCAAGGCAATAATATCCAGTGATATGATACGATATGATACGAATATAATATAATATGGAAGGCCCGTATTATCCTTATTATTTGATATCATGGCAAGTTCCGAACAGCTGATGTTATCAGAGCCGTGAGTAAAATATGGTTTCGGACTGGGCAGAACTAGGCATCCACGACCTGTCAAGTGTCAAACATTTTTCCTTCTCCCGCGATGACAAGGGCTACTGAGCTTCTCAGTCAACTCAAGGGCCGCCGGAATTGCGGCTGGACGACGCGACGGCCTGTTGGCGAAAACTCTGACACCCAAATATACCGACGACGACCCACCAGTCGCAAGTACTCCCATCGGACGCGAAGGACGGGAATTACGCTGCATTCTCGAACCAGTGGGAGCGTGTATTTCAGCTGAAGAGCAGCAACAGACCTGCCCGAATCCAAATATCCCTTGTGTGTCGCGGCAAGCACGGACTAATTTTGGCGCATGCATGGGCCACGCATTACCTCACTCTTGATTCCGTGACGGCTAGCGACGTCGAGATGATGCTTCCTCGGGTCGAAGCCTTGCTCCGTCTCATTCCCGCTGCGTACGTACCTAGCCAGTCTCTTGATCTTGTTGATTAAATCATCATGCGCAGAATCAAGGCATATGAAGAGAAAGCTCGGAATCCACTCCGTATGTGCATTATTCAATGTCTACACACCATAATCATCCCGCTCAGCATTTTCTGTCCGGCCCTGCGTCACAGTCGTGGGTAAAGTTCCAGGAAGCTGAGCGCCGAGTATTGCAGGGTTTGCCCCCGATGGGTATTGTAACCAAGGAACGACTCAAGTCTGGCCTCGGCGAAGGGCTTAACTGGACGGAAGTGCTGAACATTCACGAATATTAATGATATATCAATAATATATCATGATACGTATTAATAAATACGGAGATAATATATACAGATACGATACGGAGCCTGGATGTGGGCTTATGGGCGATGTCAGGAGGTGGCCGGGTTTTTTCAAGTTTTTCAAGTTGAAAGAAGGGAGAGAAACAAGAGAATATCAAATAGTATCATTAAGTATATAGTTCCAATTTACTGGTGAATTTTTACGTTCAAAGCCACTCAAACACTGTAAACTCACATTGCCCACTTGAATTTCGGTGATTCCCGCTTGAAACCTGGCGTTGCTGGATCGGGAAATCAGGCAATGTCCGGATCAATGCGAAATTCAAGATCTTACATACAGTTCAATCTGTCAGCGCTGTCAAGCACAGCCTACCGGATTTATTATAATGGCACTTGCACATCAAAATGCACTAGAAGTTCAAAAATGCACTCGCTTTCACTCAATTCTGGTCCAATCGTCTTCGGAAGTACCGCGAATTGAACCGACAGGCGTGCCCGCCAAGAATATATAAAAACCCGATGACATTTGGATGGGTATTGGGCGAGAATCCGCCCCGAGCGGCAAAGTCAGTGGTTTTTACCACTCGGGGCGATTTCCCGCCCAATACCCATCCAAATGTCCTCAATCTTTTTTCGTATTCTTGGCAGGCACACCTGTCGGTTCATTCCACGCTACTTCCGAAGACAATTGGACCAGAATCGATTGAAAGCGAGCGCATTTAGTGTAAGGCTCCAATCATTTAGTTTTCGTGTAGTGATCCAGGCAAATTAAATGGAAATGGTTTAAAAACAGTTTAAAAACAGTTTAAAGCAGTTTACAAACAGTAATTTTCGGGTACACCTGAGGGGGTGAACTATCAGATGCCGGTCATGTGTGGTATCCTTTATATTGTCCCTTGGAGTTTCACACTTCTACGGCAAACACAAGGGGATCATATTGACTTGTAAATTTAGCAATTTAATTCACACAGTACTCACACTGGATAGAAACAAAGTCCGGCAACGGGTGTTTAACAGTTCAAGCCTCGAAGTTCATTGACAAGCACCAAAAAACCTAGCTGGTTATATATTACACAAACTGGGAACATTTACTCTGGTCAGTTGATTTTTTACAGGCATTCCAGCAATATTCACGTCCAAGAGCAGACAATCGCGCGCCGCGGCGGTGGGTGAT